TTTCCACAATTACTTCATTGTCATAAACAATATTCATAATTAAAATAAAATTTAAATAATTAGGGCTCATGTTTAAATGGTAACTTGTAAACTTATTAATTGTAAATGTTACAATTTTACTGCAATCAAAGGGTGAATAGGTATTAATAACATCTCTATATTTTACAATTTCTGCAATTCCGAGAAACTCTTATTGTGACTTTCGTAATCTTTTATTGTTTAGACTACCATAAGAATTTATAAGTTTCATAATAAAGACTGATTATTAAATTGCAAAATATCTTGAAGAAGCTCCATATGATGTGTGAAACGTCAGTTTGCTGCAATAAAATATCTATTTTATAAAATTATTTAAAAGAAAAGAAACAACCAAAACCTGTGATGTTAATTGTCTTCTACAGTTTTCCATTTTTTCCTTCGAGAAATATCATTTTACAAATCCAAGTCAAAATAGAAGCAAATGTAACTGTATTAGTATAGCAAACAATACCGACGTTTCGCCGTCGGTTTGAGACTTCTTCAAGGTAGATTGTAAGCTAATAATTTTTTGTCCTTCAATTATGGAATTTAAATTAAAAATAGACACAACCACATGATACGACTTTGTACTTTTATTCTGTCGCCAGACGTCTGTCTTGCTATCAAATTATGTATTAAAAATTGATAAAACATTCTATGAATGCTTGTCCGAAAATATTTACTGTTATTACTCAACAAATCACTAATTTGCGCACAATTAATAAAAACAGAGTCCACAATATGGGAAATTGTTTCTGAAAGTGTGAGAAATTCATAAGAAGTAAACATAAAAATAAAGTTTTGGAGAACTGCGTAGAAACTTTTAATTGGACACGTTAAAAATAAAAACGATTGTACTACCAGGAATATTTGTAGAGAAATACTTTAATTGATAATAGTAAACGGATAAATTGTAACCAAATATACGTACACCTAGGAACATAATATTGAAAAGTAAGAGGTTCATTACTTTGATTCAAATTTACTGATTCTTTCGAAAATGCTAACAGTTTTAATATAACGAATAGTGGAATTATAAGACGTTTTAGATAAACTACTCCTTTTTTTATTAACAACATGGTTTAAGAACTGTTTAACTGTGAAAATTTTGTGAGTTATTTGTCTCCAACAACAGTTGGCTAGCTTTATAAACTTAACCAATTATACGGATCGCGAGTTACTGTTAATCTGCAAATAATGCATGTACCTGATATTTGATTAGCCAACATGTGTTGTTTGATTAAGAAATCATCACCATTAAAGAGCAATTTGTTTCAAGTACCATTACCTAGTTTGTCATACGCATACATAATTCTAATTCTTAATATTTTCAGATCAATTTTATTCCGAAATAAATTAAAATACATATTAATTAGAAAATCAAAACGAAAAGCCATTTTTTCTTTTTAACCTTTTAATTCCTAAGTTACTAAGTAAAACTAAAACTTTAAAAATTGTATTTTTATTTTTAATACCACAATTACTTTAGATTCTAATTACATGCAAAATTTATGTATTTTTAGATCGACTCATTGAATATAACCAAATAATCCTAGTAAATTGAAGTTTGCTGCACCGGTTGGATTAATTAGACAGTTAATAGGAATTCGTCAACCACAAACGGAAAGAACCCTCCATGTTATCTGCTTCGTTGATCATTGCCAAAATGTCCGTTGCAAACGGAAGGGATAAGTGTATGTTCTGGAGTAACACCCAGCCTCCTAGTTTCATTCCTGTTTCGATCATATCCTTTGCAACAACTTCCTGTCCTTGGCCCATGGAAACAGCTTTGAGTGCTTTAAAAGACGTTGTCATTTAAATCTATTTCGCTAGAGAATAAAGACTTACGTATATCTTTAGATTTTGCTAATGCTTGTATTTGGGGTGAAGGGTCAGACCCGATGGATAAAATGCATATGAGAGGAGTTTGGGGTTCAGATTCTTTCCATGTTGCTTCTAAATCAAGTATTGGATTTTCGCCATATTCAGGTCCCAATGAATCTGGTACAATTAAAAATTAAACAGTGTATTGTAAAACATAATGTTATTTTAGTTACGAACCCATGATGTATTTTCTTGCTTGAGATAATGTTCTGTCTTGGCTCCACGCTCTTATCAAAATTAACTTTCTAAAAACATCCAAACATTTCTGATATCCGCACGGAATGTCCTCTTCTTCAGGTTTGTCTTTTTCGTACCAGTTTTTCCATTCTCTTTCATTATTCTCGATCTAAAAGATTCACTTTAAATTTCAAAGTTTCGATTGTGTAAACTTGAAGAAACACTATTAATATATTGGGTTGTTCGGAAAGTCATTTCGTTTTTTCCCGACAGAGGATTTAATTGTATTCTTTTGCACCCAACTTCACATTTAAGCCGTATAATTTTTATATGATATGAGAGCTGATATAACAAGGCTTGTGTGTGAAAAATTCCAATTAATTCTACGCAGTAGCTTTTGGTTGGTGCCCTTTTAAATATGGAGAGCGATAAGCAGCATTTTCGACATATCTTACTGTTTTACTACAGAAAGGGTAAAAATG